TTCGAAGGAAGAGAAAAATGGGTCCAAAAAAAGGTAATCTTGCTTTATACTGGCATTTGCAGAGCAATTTTTATTCTTTTGTATTTTTCAATTTTATTATAATACTGAAAAATATTTTCGTGATTTAATTGAGTATTTATTGAACATAAAATAAAAAAAAAAACAATATTTGAAATAAAATATGTATCAAAATTTTTTATTATTGTTTTGAACAAAATGTTATTTAATGTAAATTATATACTTTAATCGTCAAATTGTAATTAGTTTCATTATTAAAATATTTTAAAAGAAAAAATATAACAGAATTTGAAATTTATGCGTAGAATTTTGGACGTGCCGTAACAGGAAAGACTCTACACGGGTTAGCAATACTGATCATGATAGTCAAAATCCAAGAGCATCATCAATTTGTCTCTCAAAGCTGCAAGAAGAGCAAGAAGAGCAGTGTAGTAATCAGGTAACCAAGAAAACTCATGCAGTACTAATTTTGTTAATAATGAACTTTACGAAAAGCCACACGGTCGTCAGTTATCCTTGTAATAAGAGCGCAATAAAATTGCACTTTGCGATGCATAAATTCCAACGAGCCACGAACGATGCAGTGTGAAACGTACAGAAGCCGGCCTCGATGCGACCGATCAGGAGGAAAGGAAGAGGAGGTACGGGGTGGTCACTAGCCAGCCCCCCGCGCGCTGATAAGGAAACCGCGTGCGGCGCGGTATAGAATCCACGCCGATAATAAATGCCGCACCGCGCCGCACCGCGCGGCGACTTTACTACTCCCATACTTTTCCCTGGTATGATTCGCGCTGCCCCTACCATCGACGCTTCAATATAAGGCATCAACCCTCCCCTCTCTGGCCGTCACTTCGTTTGCGACCACGATACATATCGGTCGCCCTCTCTCTCTCTCTCCCGCTCGCTCGCAATTCGTTCCGTCTTACTCCCACCTGGCCCACCCGCTCCCTTCTTCATCCCTCACCGTGCTTTTCCGTTCGTTCTCGCGGCATCCTCGTCTCGCCCTCATCCACTCCGACGGTTCGCCGGTGAATTCGCATTGCCTCGGCCATCCACGGTGCCGCAATTCCGCTTCGTTCTCCGTCTCTATCCTTCGCTCTACTTCTTTCTCTTTTCCCCTTTTGTCTTGCCGTCCTTTTTCTCCATTCCTCTACCTCTCGTTCCGTCACTCTTCCGTCGCTTGCTCCGTTTGCTCTATGTACATAATATACACGAGCCGCGCTCCCGATCATAGAGCAGTGGCGCGGGTTCTCGTATAGCCAGCAAAAGTCTGGACCTTAATTTTCGTCTAGTCGCCGATCGATATACACCGATTATACGCCGATCGCTCTCATTTTAATCTTCCGCGGATTTTCACGAGACAACACGTGTGGCTCTTCGTAGGTGAGAACGCCGTGTTCGCAATCACCTTCGTCGAACGTGTCAAGCCTCTCTTTTACGAATGGTGCGAATTCCAGGTACGAGAACGGTCGCAAAGCGAAAAGAGTCGCAACGAACCGGGGACAGGAGTCAAAATCGCATCGATCACGAGATGAAAAGAAGGAGAAGCGAAGACGATGGTAAACCAGTCGCAAAGTATCGGCATCGGGAATACGGTGAGTACCACTTTCATCCTTGGCGCGATCTTTGCGATCACCCTTCGGGATAGGCGCGAACGGAATCCACGCTCGCTCGATCGAACGACGTTCGCGGCGAGGCGCGTGACGCGCGTGACCGATTGATCCTCGCAGCATCGCCCGAACGTGCTCCGAGATGCAACGTCCCGAAGAGGAGCATGTACACGATGTGTTGTCAAAGCGCTTAACTGGGCCGGTGGTCCGCGAGTCACTGCGGGCCGGGGGCCGGTCGTGGGGGATGTATATATGTTGGATATCAGAGTGATAACGCCGCCCCTGGTCTTGCGATAACGCCCGGCCGGTATATTATACGCCGCTGGCTGACTGGTACAGCCGCCGATTTGCATTCAGCTCGTTACATCTGCCGCGAGTATCCTTCCGGCATCTTTCAGAGCATCGCATCGGTAAGGGAAATTTTGCACAACGTGCCACAAATTCGGATTGTTATTTAATATGAAATTATCGTCGTTCGCAAATCCACAAAACAGGTACTCCATACACATAACAATTATTCTCGATCTTATGATCTTATATAGTTTGAAATCAAGAGATCACGAACATTAAATAACAGTGCTTATTTTTGACGATCGTATGCTAGATACTTGAAAATTATGTCAAAATTCTGCGATGAAATTTCTTTATAATTTTGATTATTTTTTGGGTTATTCTAAAATTTGGCATTTTTAATATTATTCGAGGATTTTTTAGATATTGCGATAATCTAAGATTAAGCAACGTGTGCTCTGCATTCAGATATATGATTCATCTATTTTATGCTTGTAAAAGATGGAACAATCAGCGAATTACATGTTGCAAGTTTCTTTTCTATTTTGAAATAACAGTTTAGAAATAATTTAGCAGAGTGTCATATCTATTTTTTTAAATACTCATTTGCGGAGTTATTTGATTAACCGGAAAATATGCATTTATTAATTTAATTTTGTCGTGATGACGAATAAAGCGACTTTTTAAATTCCACAAAAGAATTAACTTTTCAAGATTAAGTTTTTTTTTATCAAATTAATGTTTTTTTTGCAAATTTTTACGTTCCATATGGTATTTACAATTAATATATTTACATGATATTATTGATATTTTATGCAAGACACACTTATATATCATGATATTTTTAGAATGATAAAAGTTCTTAAGTATTTCTCATAAAACCGCGATCGTTTATGGCAATCAGCTGCTTTTATTCGCGGTTCGTGGAAAAAAATTATATCACGTAACGCTGATCGATTATGCCACATGATAATTATTAACGAAGATAACAAACCGCAGCTCGTGATTAAAGTAGCACATTCGAAATGCCAATGATTATGAGATACAATTCGATTGTCTTGAATATAATAAATACATATTATTATATTTAAGATAATAGTTAATTTTATATATATGTTGTGCCAAAATACTGTTTATTCGCTTAACATAGCGAGTCATCAGATATCGGCGATGTTATATAAACGGCCATGCAAAACTTTTACGTATAGAAACATACAGCACAGCATATCTGCATATAGTTTATCTACATTATATTTTAGCGTAGCGCTTCAAACGCCGTTGTAATTATTCTCAAACTTTCCCCCACGTCGCCTAGAAAAGTAGAAACATCGAAAGTGACGCTTTCGATATTTCGGTAATATATTTCCAATGGTGTAAAGATAAGAGAGTTGGCCTACCATCCTATTCTGGTGCATCAGCCGCATCGCCGGCACCTGTAATGCCCACTTTTGGACATTCTCTCGACGAGCTGAATTTTATCGCCTCGGTCGTCAGGGTCGCCATTATTTCTATTTAAACACTTGCTCGCTGCGTCACATGTCTCCTGAGTCATTCCAACGCGTGTCATTTCGTGACGTTCGAAGACGAGCCACCTTCGACCGCCTTTCGATTGAGCACTCGTTTCATTGTCCGCGACGTTTAAATCTCGCGGTTTGTTATTAGCTAACTTATTCATTCGGCAAGTAAATAATGATAGAGGAATAATTAAAATTGTTTTTTTCTGCAACCAATTTTTCTGCATAAAAGTAACATGAGTAAGCAAAAGAATATATATTTTTGCAACCACTTTCACTGTATTTCTGTAACAAACTTTTAAACATTGCAAATACGTGATGAATATATGACGAAGCGAGCGCTTTAGTTTCCTCAGAATTAGCATGTCGCGCTATTACGGTATCGTGTCGTAATTATTTTTGTGAGATATTAGGAAAAGTCTCGGATGGAGACGCAAACCATCGTGAACTCTCTACTGAAAACAATTCAGATATTAATGAACGGCAAATTGTTACACATTGTCGAGTCGGGATCACATGAGTCACATGTGCGCGGCTATACAAAAGGACCGCTTGTTTTTAATACTACATGTAAGATAAACTTTGGACCCCGTTTGTTCTTGAGCTGACAAAACTACCGGGACGTCGGCGAATTTTCTTTGTCCATCAGTATTCTTTGTGTTTCGTCAATTTACACATGTAATTTCCTCGTGTAAACATTATTACACATGTAATTTCCTCGTGTAAACATTATCAATTCAAGACATTATTAAATTTAATTATTATTGAATTAATTTTTCATATACGCGTTCGTTGCAATTATATTTCCGGATATGCACATGAGATAATTATAATATTTTATACATAGAAAATATACAAAGAAAAGGGGTGAAGCTCGACCTCTGCGAGCTTTGAAAGATGTTATCGCGTTGAGTCAGGCGATTTTGTATGTTTCATTTCGTAACTATCCTTACGTAAAGTCGAGAGTTCAAAATGTCAAGTCCACGCTAGATGTTTTCACAGTTTTGGTCAGACGATAAAAGTATTACAAAAAAAAAAAATATATATTTTTTTTTTCGATTTATACTCGTTTTTGACTGCCGACTTTTTTGAACGTAGATTTATGCGTCATCAAAATAGATAAAATTATCTCTTTTTCGAAATAAGACACACGTAATGCCTCAAAATATTTTGGATAGCTTTCTCTTCAACAAATTTTGTATTGTTTGATTTTAGGCCGTTCGTAATAATCGAACTTTGTTGAAGTCGCGTATGTAAATGTGCACGACGCGGTGGTTTTCTATCGCGATGGAAAATCAGCACTGTCAAGAAGTAATCAGCCGCGCTTACTTCATTTGCATAAAAAGTTAGGAACATACATAAAGTATCGCAAATAGAATATTAATTAGAACGCGATATTAATTTTATAACTATTGTATACGTTAACAAATTTCGTATATAGATGATAATCGAATAATCTCAGCAACTGTTTTCAGTAAGCAAAATCGTTAGTAGATTGACAGCAAATTTAATCAAATTGTTTCACCAATATGATTAAATTTGCTATCGATCTACCAACATCACTAATATTTAGCAATCTGAGTTGTTTATCAGACTAGAATTTGTTATAGATTTATTATCTGCAATTGATGTGAACTAATTACTCAGTAAAGTCATCGAAGATCAACCGCGATAAGTTATAACGTAACCTCGATTTCGATCAATAAACTTCTTCTCTGATATTTCACATATTTAATAAGCTCGGTCTTCCGCATTACAGTTTCTCTTTGATAATGATTCAATATCAATCTTTACGTTAAAAATATACAACAATTTTATATCAATTTTATCCGTCAATTAAAAAATATGTGGTTATTTAATAATCAAGCAAGTGTGTAGACACAAAAGTTAATGGAAAACTCATAAATTTAAACGGTAAATAATTTCGCGATAGTTAACAACTGCACGACCGACAATATTTAATTATTAAAATAATCACAATTCCAGGGAATTTTTGAAGAGTCATATATTGTAGAGATACGTCATTTGGAAAAAACGCTCGCAATTGTTATCGTCGTCCATCGAGTCGTTTTGGTCGAAGGCCCGAATACGCCGTACAGTCGGGTACTTGTGTCTATGCCGGATTCAACAGTGAGGTCACAGTGGCGCACAAAAGTCATGGTTCACGTAAACCGATGTACATTAAATCATCGCCATCGTTTTATCCGATAGTAGAATCGTTGCCGTCATCCTCCGTCACGTCGCCCTCATTCGCCGGTTGCTACCGACGTCTATCGAGTGAATCTCATTTCAGTAAAATAACTTAATCTTTTCTTTCGATTGTGTCTCCTTAAAAAAGATTGAAATTCAAAGAAAACTCGACAGAGAAAATGAGCAGTAAACTAGTAAAATATTCATTGTAATCAGTAATAGAATTTCAAGATTTTTACTTGCAAATTTTTAAGCAAGTTAAGAAAATCAAAAGTATTAAAATATCTTGTAAGACTGTTTTGCTTGAAAAGTCTTGAATGTCAAATATTATGAACGTTCATAGCATTGTAAATATTTGTTTTTAATTTTTCACCAAGACCTTTAATAATGTTATAATGTTTTTTTCAACTTTTTGATTTTTAGCCTTTAATTTAAAATTTCTTGAGACGATTTGAATCCGATCACTAATTGTAATCTCAGTTTAAGAACTCGCTGGATTGAATCATCCAAGACGATGAAAAATTAAATTACTGAGTCGAGGAGTAATTGGAGTGGTCGAATTATGTGGTTCAAGCTGCATATTGGAGTTATAATTTAGTGTTTTAATTGTGGGCAATGTAATTAACATTGCTCGATAACGAAGCGCGATGCATTTTTCGTCACAACCGCTATTCGTGCTTCTATTGTAGTTGACTTTATAATTCTCTTCGGGATCGCGAGACATTGATGCTTTTGGTCATAGATCATGATACTTATCAGTTCGATAAAACGTGACTAGATATTGAAATAGGATTTTCGAGGCGTTTAGATTTTAAAATGCAATTTTTCAATAGGAGTTGTCAGACCTTTAAACTTTTTAAATGACGTTTTTAAATAGGGTTTTTATTTCGATTGTTATCAACGGCAAAAATTTTTATGACGTCACCGAGAGGAAGTGTGAAGAAATGCGGATGCAATGCGAAAAACCACATCCGCGTATGCTAAATTACA